GGAGGGTCAGAGGGAGAAGCAGACTCCCTGCCGAGCAGGGAGCCCGATGCGGGACTGGACTCGATCCAGGGACTCCAGGATCATGACCCGAGCCGAAGGCAGTCGCTTAACCGACTGAGCCACCCAGGCGCCCGCTGTGAACATTCTTAAACATACGTTTTGGTGGACATTAGAACGTATTCCCGTTGGGCATTTGTCCGTAATTGGCATTACTGAGCCATTGGGTATATGTATGTTTAGCTTTAGTAGATACTGCCAGTGTTCTGGTGTGCCGACCTGCACTCCCACCAGCTACGTGGGAGACTCGCAATTGTTCGTCCTTGCCAACAGTTGGTATGGCCAAGCTATTAAGTTTGGCCCTCCTGGTGACTAAAATAATTAATTTTCACAACAATCCTGTGAGGCAGGTACTGCTATAAGCCCCATCCTACAGATAAGAAGACTGAGGCTACAAAGAGGAAGCCAAAGACCCCACCCCGACAACACAGGATGTGGGTGACAAGTGGGCAGCAGCGGGTCTGCGGGATCCTTGTGCACCTGTGGCCATATGTAATTTTAAAGTCAGAAAACGTGGGTATGCCAAAACGATAGGTCTTTTATTTTCTTACTTTCTGTCCATCTATTCCATTTGATAGCAGAAATGCAATGTGCTTACTTCCTGGCACAGTGAAGTGAGTGTATGATCATTCAGGCATTTCAGGGGTACACTGAGTCGCATTGAGGGTTCTTGTCCCTCTTCTGTCTAGGGTCAGAGCTCCATCCTGCAGAGCTTATGTGGTCATGGCATGGAGTGGGTGATGAGGGTTGGAGGTTGTTTGGTCATTGGTCATCATCCACCTCCTGTACTGCTCAGGGAGGCAGGCACACCCCACCCTGGCTGGTTGTGAGTTGTCATCCTTGGTTTCTGCTGTGCTGTGGCATGCCTTCTAGCTTGGACAGTGTAGGTTCACCTAGGTTCACCTAAGTTCCTTTGATTACATCTCACAAGCCCCTTCCTGGTCATCTATCCCCCTTTGAGCAACTTCCATGCTGTTTTAGGGCTTCAGAACACATTTAGAGGGTCTCTGGGATCCCTGCACATTAAGCATGAGCCTGAGACACTTCCAGGCCTACCTGCCTAGGCACACCCAGCTGCTATTTCTACTTAACTGATCCCGTATTTTCTCATCATGGAAGACTTTAGATATTCCTCACAGACCAAGGCATAGATTCTCTCTGCTCTCAGAGCCCGCAAAACTTTCTGGGGTTCCTAAGCTCTCCCTATTCCTGAGCAGAGAGGATGGGGGGAGGGCAATGCTCTCTTTGCTGCAATTTTCCCCCCACCCCTATCCTTTTGGAAAATTGGTTCTGGTGTCATCGTACCTTCTTTTCTCTAACTCTGCTGTTGCTGGCATAGAATTCAAGATTTGAGTCCTTCAGCTCCTGGGCTTTCAGTGCTCCAAAAAAACCTTCTTGCTCTGAAGAGTCGATTTATTCTAAGAGTTCATTTTGCAAATCAAGATCCAAGAATTTGACTTTTTTCTGCGTTCAGCGCTCTCTCTTCTGGAGTAATAAGGTGGTCTGATTTTTAGATGGAAGGCGTAGAGTTTGGAAAAAGAAGAAGGAAGGTCAGAGATCTTGTGGGGACTGGATTACTTCTTAGCTTACATGCTGTCCTATGGGCTGGAACACACCTCCAGAGTTCAGTCTGTCCCGTGGGTAGGTGCCTGACAAAGGGAGTGTGAACTGACTTCTGGGCAGCAAAGTCCCATTTTAGATGCACTGAGAGAGCTGGTGCTCACTGGAGTTCTCCAGGGAACACTTGAACAACAGAAACTCAAAGGGAGGTAATCTCTGGAAATGAATTCACCATAAAAAGCAGATTTTCCCACCTGGACTTGAATGCGAGCCCTTTAGCTTCGTATGCTGCAAACAGTAGTAAATCAGAAAATATTCCTGGCATTTGAGGGATGCAGCTAAAATTCAGTATCTGGGCTGTGGTGGCAGTAATATAGCTAGGGCTGGAGCCTCAACCTTGTTCCACAGTGGCTGTGTGACAGTGGGAATGTCTCTTCTCTTTGATTTTATTTCCTTTCTCTGTAGAACAAAGAGCTTTGATTACACGGCCAGCTTTGAAGCCAGAGGAACCCCCCCTTTCCTCGCACTCTTACTCACCAAGGGGACTCTATGGGGGCCGGTCCTTCCTGACCTGGGCTGGTGATTATGGATAAATGAGTGGGGATGAGTGGTCACCAGCCTGCACCCGACAGTCCTGTAACAGTCTTGTCCATCCTGAGAGGAGAGTTTGAAGGACGGAGGGCTGATTTGGAAAGTGTGGGGCTAAATGAGTCACCTTTGACAGACACTGCTGGCCCCCTCTTAGCAGTAATTTATCACTGAGACCCTACTACAGAGGTTTCTCAATTACCCTGGGCTGAAGAATCACTTGGAGAGCTTGTTTAAAAGGCAGAAAAATCTGCCGCCAGGGAATCAGATTCATTAGATCAAGAGTGGACCCAGGAATCTGCATTTTTCTTGACTTGATGCCAGTTATTTTTTGAAGTAAAACATTTTTTTGAAAAAGATTTTATTTATTCATTTGACAGAGATAGTGACAGAACACAAGCACGGGGAGCAGCAGAGGAAGAGGGAGAAGCAGGCTCCCCACTGAGCAGGGAGCCCCATGTGGGACTCAATCCCAGGACCCTGGAATCATGACCTGAGCCAAAGGCAGACACTTAACCAACTGAGCCACCCAGATGCCCCAAAGTAAAACATTTTTGAATATGTAATATATTCATATGGCTCAAAATCCAAAAGGTAGAAAAGGGCATAAAGTGAACAAATCACCCCAACCGCTGTACCCCAGTCACCTAGTTTCTTTCCCCATGAGGTAAACAATTTCTTGTGTATCTTTCCTGAGATAATCTATGAATATAAGAGTATATGTGAATAAATGAAATCTGCATTTTTTTTAAAGATTTTATTTATTTATTTGAGAGAGAGAGAATGAGAGACAGCACGAGAGGGAAGGGGATCAGAGGGAGAAGCAGACCCCCCGCTGAGCGGGGAGCCCGATGTGGGACTCGATCCTGGGACTCCAGGATCATGACCTGAGCTGAAGGCAGTCGCTTAACCAACTGAGCCACCCAGGCGCCCTGAAATCTGCATTTTAAAAACAAGCATCTCTTGGTGATTCTAACATTGGGGAGGTCCCCAGACATATTCGGAAAAATACCCATCTTCATGCTGGGTCCTCAGGCTGGGTGTGTGACCGGGCATTGCTCAGTCCTTCCTGCTCAGGATGTTTAACAAGAGTTTGCAAGGTGCTACCTTGTATGCCACGGGCAAGGGAGCAAAGGGGTTGCAGTGGGCCTTGCCTAGGGACCTGAGTCGAGCTGCAGAGGGCAGGGCTGTGTTGTGGGG